GCCTTTGTATACGTTAAATCATTTCCAGATTACTTGTGATGCCTCACAGAGAGTGAATGCTGTGTCAGTAGTTACACTGTATTGTTCAGGAATGATGACAGGAAAGAGACAGATGTGTGCTCTGGGAGGATGAGGCAGGAGTATCACAGGTTTGAGCACAGCTGGGGCAACTTAGCACTTGGCAGGACCCTGTCTCCAAGGATTTTTAAAAATGGTTGGGGATGTGTCTCAGTGTAAAGGCCCTGTATTCAATCTTCTATATTGCTTTTCAAAAAAAGTCTGTACATATTTAGTACAGGTGCAGTTTTTTTTCCAGTATTTTTAATTCACATTTGGTTTATGTGGAACCCAAAAATATACAAAGGGCCAAGTATATTTACCATTACTCTCTTACTGGAGGATAAATAATGCTTATAGATTTTCAGTTATGGTTCAAGAATTTTTCTTCCTTATTTTTACCTTGACTAGAAGTGATGGTTTTAATCATTATTCATCACTGGTAGTGGGGAGAAATGCAATTTGAAATCAATTAAATTGATTTGAATTTCAGCTATGCTATTTTGTAGCTAAGTGATCTTTGTAAAGTGATTTAATATATCTGAATCTTCATTTATAATAAATAAAAACAATCTTGTAGCATGTTTGTGAAGGTTGAGATTTATGTTCTACATTAAGTGTACGTTTCACCGGAGGCTGAGGCAAGAAGATTGCCATGAATTTGAGGCCAGCCTGGACTCTGTAGTGAGACCCTGTCTCAAAAAATAAATAAACAAATGAAAGTAGATGTTTCAAAATGATTTTTATTCCAGTACTGGTGATGGCTGTACTTACCAGGCATGTGCTATGCCACTGAGCTATATCCCAAGCAATGTTTTTTATTCTTAAGCTTTCAATTTGTAGTTTCCTATTGTGTGTACTTGGATTTTTATGCATATATCTCAATTTTAGTAAAGCAAAACTCACCATTGTCCCTCTTCTATTTTTACCCTCTGACTTTTAATCATTCAGGTATGATAATGCCAGGTTTGATTCCTTCACTTACTGTAAGTCTATTTTATTCTAAGCACTGTCCATTCTCCCCTCACCTTCTAATCCTACTCATTGTACTTTAAACCTTGATGACCTCTCACTCAGTCAAAGGATCTTATAGTAATTTAGACTCCCATCTCTTAAAAGAGTTTGTTGTGTTGCTTGCTTTTTCATAACATTTCCGTGTCCCCCCTGTAGAGACTGTGAGTAATCCACTCAAAGCTCTTACCTTACAGAGTGGGTGATGGAGGTGCGGGGAAAGAATTATGTCTTCGTGCCATAAAGGGCATTCGAGGGCTGGGGAACAGTACATGAAGACTGGACCCCGTCTTTACTCACTCACAGGCTAGTTTTTCCACTGTGGAAGCACAGCCCCAGTTCCTCACATGATTCCCAAGGCTGAGCTGGGTCTGGCCCCTCTCTGTTCTTGCCTACTGTATTTTCATTTCTTCTTTTGCCTAGAATCTAACTCTATGATGGGGAACTTTTTTAAGGTTTCAGTGATTCAAGCAGCCCACTGTGGCATGCGGGCCATAGGTTCACCACCACTGGACACATTCCCTAACGGTACTAATACTGTTCCTCCTAACTCACATGCACTTTCTTCTTCCTACCCTTTGAAATTCTGTCTGTTCTGTGAATCCCATGTTGATCAGAAGTCTTGTCTTTTTCTCTCCTCCCAAGCCAGAAAATCCTCTCAGAGCATGCATTGCATCTAAACACATTCTGTTTTGTCCTGTAATCATGTGTATATTAGCAATAGATTATGGACTTTATTTGGGCAACAATTTCTTCATATAACTTTTTAGGATGAGAATCACTTATTCCTTGAGTGCATCCTAATCTTGCATCAAGATAGATATTTTGACTTTTCTTGATTTTTCTGGCCAGGAGTAATCAAAGGCATGGAGACTTGAGAATTAATTCCTTTTTCTTTATCATGCTTAACTGGTCCCTGAAATAATTAGTGCATTTCCTTTTTTTGCAATGATGTCTTATTATGTTGCCAGGGTGATCTTGAATTCACTGTAGGGCCTCGGCTGGCCTCAAACTCATAGTAGTCCTCCTGCCTCAGCCTTGCAAATGCTGAGATGACCGTGCCCAGTCTGCCCAGGCTGGTTTTGGATTCCCCTACTTGGACCTCCCAGGTAACTGTGACACCAACCACACACCACCATTCCTGGCTCTGTGGATTTTTGTGTTTGTTTTGTTTTTGGAGATAGGGTCTCACTGTGTCATTCAGACTGGCCTTGAGCTCACTGTGTAGCTCAGGCAGGCCTCAAACTCCTGCCTTAGCCTCCCAAGTGCTGGGATCACAAGCTTGTATCACCACACCTGGTTTATGAACAGATTTGAGAACATAACCTTATATATTTTTTTCATTTTTTCAGAATTTATCATTATAAGGAACTGACAGTTTGCTTATACATACATACATTAGAAGCATAATTTTGCCAAATAGTGTCTTAAAGTATTGATCAGCATTTCCTAAATTTGGCTTAAAGGATCACTATTAAAGGATAACTACTGTGGTTTTACATAATTAAGTTGAACTGAATTGTTTGATGTCTTTTTTCTTTTTTTCTTTTTTTTTTTTTTTTTTTGAGACAAGGTGCTGGGATTAGAGGCATGTACCACCACATTTGGCTCCTTGTTTTTTTCTTGTTAAAGAAAAAGCTGACAGTGTTTTGTAAGTTAGTTGTAAGCCACAAAGCAGATACACAGATAATATATGTTATTTGGTACATTCAGGTTTATCCCAAAGAACATGAGTATTAAGGTTATTTTGTCCAGAGAAAAGACATAATGTTTATATATATTTTAAAAAAAACCAGCAAGCATGGTGGCACTTGCCTACAATCCCAGCATTTGGGAGGCTGAGGCAGGAGGATTGCCTCAAATCCAACCTGGGCAATTTAACAATTTAGGCCCTGTCTCCAAAATAGATCTGGAGATGTAGCTCAATATAAAGATCCTGGATTCAATCCCCAGTGCCACCACCACCAACCATTAAACCCCAAATCAAAACAAACAATAACAAAGAAAACCTATCATTTATTGTCTACTTATTCTGGATCAGTGTTATGTCTTTATTTCTTCTATATCTTATTTATTCCTCATAAGAATACCATTACTATGGATGAAAAATCTGAGTTTTAGGAAAGGTGCACAACTTTTATTGGTGAGGCCAAGGGACATGTTTGAGCACATCTAGCTCTAATGCCAGAGCTCCTAGTGCCGTATTCTATGCTGTTTTCCAACATGGAGAGCAAAATGAATCCAAAAATTTTAGAAAGCTAAGCTGGGTATGGTGGCACATACCCGTAATCCCAGAACTTTGTAGACTGAGGCAGGAGGATCGCCTTAAGTTCAAGACTAGCCTGGGCTACCTCGCAGGGTCCTGTCTCAAAAACAAAATTTTTTAAAGCCAGTATTATTTTCAGACAAGTTTATTGTCAGCAGAACAAAGCAGTACATGTGGAAAGCAGCATGGTCTTTAGGGTTCCCTGTCACCGCTTTGCCTCATAGGACTTCAGTGTGGCACAGCTGTGTGTGTGGTGGGTTCAGCAGGCCAGTGTTCCGCTGTTGCCAAGGTGCTTGGACCAGAATACAGCGAGGAGCACTCTGCCTGGACAGTTTCGCTCTGTGCTGCAGGAGAGCTGCAGACAGCGCTTTAATTTATATTTTTGGTTCTCCAAATAAGGAAACTATTGACTTAATTCTAATCTCACCTCTTCTGGATGAAGGTTGGAATTCCTTTGATAACTGGGGTAAAACCCCCAAACAATCCAAGTTATTGGGTAGGGACCAAATGATGTCAAGAATATGGCTTTATATGTTCTTCCATGTGAGGGGATTTTAGAAAAGAGTTTTAAGTATAGAAGTTTTATTCCCTGAATTTAAAGTACATTATATTTCTCCACTTATTAAAAAAAACCCTACAGTAATAAGAATTATAGTAAGAGCCAATAATATAATCAACTTTTAAAATAATATATTTTGAAGATGACTGGAATAAAAAAAATAAAATAATATACTTAAAATGTTCTTTATACTACCTGAAGATACCTTCTATGTTGAATATATTATTTCCCCAAATCTGTAGTAAAACCTTAAGAAAGTGAAATACTATCTTCATTTTTCAGCTAAAGAAAACTAAAACTTCTGGGTGTGGTGGCTCATGCCTGTAATCCCAGCACTTGGGAGGCTGAGGTGGGAGGTTCATTGTGAGTTTGAGACCAGCCTGGGCTACAAAGTGAGCTCAAGGCCAGCCTGAACTGCATAGTGAGACCCTGTCTCAAAAAGACAAAAAAAAGAAAAGAAAAGAGAGGAAAACTAAAACTGAAAAGATGACATAATTTTTTTCTTCCGCTTTGCCCCTACTAGGCAAGCACTATACTATTGAGCTATATCCTCAGCTCCAAGATTATATAATTTGTTCAGGGTACTGGAAGTTACCATCTTACTGAAGTCTTCTTGCCCTTAAAGTCCTTTTCTTTTAAATACGCCACACAGTGTTCCAGGCCTCTTCCCAACATGGAGTGGCCAGTGCTGCAGAGCTGGGACGGGAAGAGGGAATCAGGACACTTGGGTGAAGATGGAGTCTGGACTTGACTCTACAGAGATGCTAATGGTACCTCCCTGGGATGTAATTCAGAAAAGAGGAACATTTCACTCCAAACATATTTTTGGAACAAACTCAAGTTCAGAAAAAGGCCAACTGGTATTTGTACAGTGGAGTCAGTCATAAAATGATAGAACTGAAAGGGACCTTAAAGGTCATTTAGGAAGCAGCGACCCAAAGGTACTGACTTGTTTGACCAAGGGTCTACTGCTTTGGATAGTCCCAGTAGAGGAATGTGGTCTGTTAGTTTAGGCCTTCTGTTCTCACTTGCCCCACATCACTGCCAATCTTTGGATTCTGGAGAATTCTCCCTTATGTCTTAATAGTCTGGATTTCTTTATTGCAGAGGTGTTTCCATATCTGTAAAACAAAATGGAATCAACTCCATTTAACAGACGACAATGGACTTCCCTATCATTAAGGGTAACGGCCAGAGAACTTTCTCTCACCAACAAGAACAAGTCATCAGCCATTGTGGAAATATTCTCCAAGTAAGTGCCCATCCTGGTCCAAAGGACCATCTGTATTGAATGCATATCACTACCTGTCAGGGAAATTGGCAAAGAAAATATGTGTTGTAAAATGACTTTTTTGAGAACCTTCTGCATTTTAAACAGCAAATGGGGCATCATAGAAAAGAGTGCTAACCAGAAGAGACATTCTCTGCATTTGAATTTTTAATTGGGAGAAATAAAAGGTAATAAAACACATAATCAAATATAAAATGAATAGGAATGAGGGCTGTAGATAGAATAAGAGAGAGAATGACTATTAGAAGCAGACCAGGAAGACCTCCTGGTTTAGATGAATTTAAATTACATTTAAAATTCAGTTTATGAGCTATACTTGTAAGTCCCCACTAACTACTTATAGCTGGTACCTATTATACTGAAGAGCACAGAAACGTTTCATCATTGCAAGAAATTCTGCTGCACTGTGCAGTTGTATGGGGACACGGCAGCCCACTGGCTGTTTGATAAGTAAGGATTTAGCAGAGTGTCACCATCCTCACCTAGAGATTGTCTGTGGCTGCTTTCAGCTGCAGCATCAGAGTTATTAGTTGCAATAGAGAACGTGTCATACTCAAAGTCTAAAGTATGACTTATTTGGCCTTTTAAGAAAAATTGGATGGCTCCTCTTCTGAATGATGAGCTTTGATAGGAAGGTTCCTTTCCTGCTCACTTTACATCCCTAGTAGCAGGACAGCGACTGGAACACAGTCAACAAATGTTCAAGGGTTGCTCTGTGTAAATAACACAGCAGACATGGCCATAGAGATGCCATGGTGGGAGGAGCCTAGGGCAGCAGGTCTCTTACCTCACTGGGAAGTTGGTTAATGAGCAGGAGAGGACTGTACAGTTCTGGGCAGAAAGATGATGAAGATTTGAAGAAAGGGACTCTAGGACTATATCCAGGATACAGCAGAATGCCAGCTGGAGATTTCTGTAATCTGCTGTCACCTTAGAGAGCTCTGCTACCGGGGCAGCGCTGCCCTTCCAAAGCACCAACCTTGGTCATCACATGAGGCCGTGTGGAGATGGTAGCAAGTCTAGCTAGGCTTTTTTTTTCTTTTCTAAAACAGCTGGTTTTATTTTTGTATATTCTCTTGTTAGGTATATAAAGTTTAAACCACATAAGTACATATTTATGTCTTTTTCATTGTACTTATTATATTTTAATTTTCATGTAATATTTAAAAATAACTAATACATGAGATTATCAACCAGATATGTTAGAGTCTGTTGAATTTTACCATTCTAAGATTGTTGGAAGTTTTGTGTGTGTCTGTGTGTATATGTATGTGTTGTGTTGGGTTTTTGAAACAGGGTCTTACTATATATATTCTAGGATGGTCATGGACTAACTCCCTATGTAGTCCAGGCTGTTCTTCAACTCAGGGCATTTTTCCTGTCTCAGCCTCCTGTGTGATGGGTTACAGGCATGTACCACCACACCTAGCTAATCATTGGGAATTTTTGTGCTTCTGATTTTTCATTAAAAATAAATAGCATATTTCATTAAAATGAATAGCCTAGGTTAAAATGACTAACCTAAAATTTATGAATTTTTCACTCTAACTTCATTGTTTAGCCAGTCAAAGCATTTTTATGAGTAATGTAGATTTCTAGGAGCTGAGGATTTAGCTCAGTGGCATAAGTGCCTGCCTTGGAAGTGCAAGCTCTTGAGTTCGATCCCCAGTACAAAAAAAAAAAAAAAGAAAGAAAGAAAGTAAAGAAACCGTTCACCAAAGTTTTAGGGCCAGGGATTTAGCTCAGCGGTCTAAGTGCCTGCTTGACAAGCACAAAATCATGAGTTGGATCCCCAGTACTAAACAAAAGAAAACAAAACAAAATAAGTTTCTGTTAGATTTATACACTCCAAAGGAATGATAATAGTTTATACTGATATTGACATTATATAATAAGTGGGAATAGATTTTTCAGTTAAGATTTCACTACAACTTTACCATCATTGATGTTATAATTTCAGTGTTTTAACTTTTTTATTAATACATGTTCACATACATAAAATGTTTTAATTCTTTTTTATCCCCTCCCCCTCCCCATCCTCCCTGCTCCTTCCAACTCCTTGTCCTCTTCCCATTTGCAAAAGCTCCTTTTCATCATTTTTCCTTTCTTATTTTCCCACCTCATTTCTCTCCCCTCCCTCCATCTCTTACTCACCATTTGAAAAGATAGCTCTACTTCCTATCTGTCTTCTATTGCTCCTCTCTTTATGTATAATTCATATATTTTTTCTATGTATGTATTATATATATTGTTTTAAGAGAAACCATGCCATACTTAAGCTTATGGTCTAATTTCTTTTATTAACATTGTGTTCTCAAATTGCATCCTTGCATACAAATGCTTCAAGACTATCTTTTGTAACAGAATAGTGCTTCAATGTATAAGTACTACATTTTCTTTATCCTTTCATCTGTTGATGGGCAAAAAGGCCATTTCCAAGATGTAGGTATTATAAATTGTACTGCTATAAACATGAATATACATGTATCCTATAATATGATTTTTACCCTTTTGGGACGATATATAGAGGGGAGTAGCAGGTCAGGTAGAATTTCTATTTTTAGTTTTTTGAGGTATCTCAACACTAGTTCTCTCTCTGTCTGTTTCTCTGTTTCTCTTTCTCTCTCTCTTTGAGACTGGGTCTCACTATGCAGGTCAGGCTAGACTCAAATTTGCAGTGATCTTCCTGCCTCAGCCTCCTTCCTAAGTGTTGGGGTTAGAAGCATGCAAATTCCAAGTCTATACTACTGGGCTCAGAGTCTATTTCCTTAACCATTGTGTGGTGATGCCTCTTAAGACATGCTTGGAAATTTGAGGTACAGCCTATGATTGAAGAATGGATGAAGTATGGAAAGCAGCTGATGTGTCTGTATGGAGAAGGAAGGTGAGTAGCCTTTCTCCTACCTCACCATTCTGGCTGTTACATCTCTCTAGCCTGGAAGAAGATCCGAGATTTGCTATAGCAAGAAACTACCTGCAAGGCCAAAGCCCAGAGCAATTAGACACTGCAGTAAGGGGAGAGAAGTCCCAACTCAAAACAGAAAAAATAGAACTCAAAGAAAATAAATATGTTGGAGAACAGAATAAATTATAACTGATCATGAATATGCTTAGATAAAAGTAGATATTCATGAAACAACACTAGGATGACTTCTTTTTTTAAAAAAAAGGAATAGTAAGAAAATAAGAACTCATGTAAATTATAGCCTGTCATCAGGAAAATGTATAAAACTCAAAGAAGGATGGGGAACTAACAATTGAAGAAATCTTTTGGACAGCAGAATAAAAAGATGTTTTAACAGTAAAAAGTGAAGCCAGGCTTGGTGGCACACACCCATAATCCCAGTATTTAGGAGACTGAGGCAGGTTTCAGTCTCCAGCACTACAAAATTGAACAAAAATTTCCAAAATTTAGAGGCATAAAATAATGACAGCATTAATTTTGCTTGTGTGTCTTCAGTTTGGGCAGAGTTTCTCTCTGTTCTTTTTAACATCGGCTGAGGCTCCTGCAGCCTGGGGACGATGGTCACTGAAGGTTCAGTGATCCGCAGGTCAGGCTGTTGATGCTCCTGCCAGCTGGGATCTCAGCAGGCCGTGGCCAAACACCTACACACGGCCATTCCATGTGACTGGCTTGGTGGCTGGGTTCCAAGAGCAGCCATCTGGAGAGGGAGGGACAAAGGCAGAAGAGAACTACAAACTGTGCTGTTATCTGCTATTTATTACTTAAGCCTCAGAAGTCATATACCACTACTGTTGCCATATTCACTTCTGTGAGTCACCATGGCTGAGTACAGGTGATACATGCTTGTTAGCCCAGTATTCTGGGAGGCTGAGGCAGGAGGATCACAAGTCTGAACCCAGCCAGGATAACTTAGCCAGACCCTGTCTTAAGATAAAAATTTTTTCAAAAAGAGCTGAGGTGTATAGCTCAGTGAGAACCACAGGTTCAGTTCCTAGTACTGGAGAAAAAAAAAGGTGAATCAGGCTGTTTCATATCCAAGGGGAATGTTACTTCATTTTTTGATGGGAGGAACTTTAAAGGTGGCTTTTTAAAATTTTTTAGAGTGTCTCACTGTAGTACAGGCTGGCCTTGAATGCACTAGATAGCCCACACTGGCCTCAAAGTCACAGTGATCCTCCTGCCTCAGCCTCCCAAGTGCTGAAAACACAGGCATGCACCACCATCTCCAGCTATTGAAGATTTTTTAAAACATGTTTTAAAACCATCCTACATGATTTCCCACAATGATTCTGGAATGAGATCTAGGAATTTGTCGGGGTTTTACGTTTGTTCATTTGTTTTTTGAAATTTGTGTTCTTAGCAAGTATCCTGATTTTTGCCTGTAGGAGAGTAGGGATCATTGGTGGTAGAAGAGATAGACTTATAAAATCAACACAGTGAGCCTGAAAATAAAGAATCAATCTAGAAAGTTTGTGGGAGCTGAGCCATGGGGATATGAAAGCAAGCAGACTGGGATGGCGGAAGGAGGGGAGAGCCAGACCGCGGGAGTCCTGGAAGAGTCTGCTAGGTTAGGATTTGGTTAGAAAAACAGTGCACGTAGTGAAACTTGTCATGAAGAGAGAGATGTGATGAGACTTGTATTTGTGAAAGGTGCTTCTGGCGATAGGGAAAGAAGGTATCCTGGGAAGGCCAGCGACTGACAGCATGGAGACAATTTATGAGGCCCTCGCGGGAACCTAAGTAAAATGCTGTTGAGGTTTAGGGTGGGGCGTGCACAGGAATGAAAGGGAAGGGAGCAGATCTCAGGCAGGGTTAAGATGTGATTAATGAGGCTGGAAACCCCCAGTTCTGCGGGGAAACTTCGCATTCTTACCCTTCCCACCCTGTCTAATCTCTCCTGCCTTTAGCGAGGCCTGGCTTTCCCTTGACATGCATTGTCTCTGAATAGAGGCTGCCTGCTTATGCTGCTCATGCTTCCCTGAAATGTTCTGGGCCC